CAATCTGGGTGTGCACTTGGAGTTCTCACTCAGATGCACGGAGAAAAGAACTGCCCAGTGGCTTATTTCTCTGCCACTTTAGACCCTGTTGCCCAAGGCTTACCCCCCTACCTGCATGGTGTGGCTGCTGCAGCGCGCCTAGTCGAAATGTCTGATTCCCTTGTTCTCCGCTCTTCTCTTACCCCCTGGTCCCTCACTGACCTCACCCTGCTCCAAGACTCTGCCCCAGAAACCGAGAAAGAATCCTGGGTTGCCCAAGGTTGCTCTCTACATCCTGATTCCTTTTGGCGCTCGCCTACTAGCGCCTTTGTGGCCCCCTTTTCACTCTACCCATCTCTGGCCGCCCTGCTACACGGTGTTTCACATGTCGGAAAGGAGGGGATGGTCTCTGCTGTAACTAAGACAGGATGGTGGGCCCCCCCATTTTAGCTCTTTTGCAGCCCGCCACTGTGCAGCCTGTACCATTTGCCAAAGCCATAATATTTACAGGTAAACCTGTAAAAGTGGCCCAGGGGTTCAGGGGCCTGCCTCAAGCACCGTTCTTGCACAAATGCCTAAGTGTCAACAATATGAATTTATATTGGTTATGGTATGTTTGTTCTCCGGTTGGATTGAAGCCTTTCCTTGTCACAAGGCTGACTCACTGTCTGTTGCCAAATGTTTGTTAAATCATATTATGCCTGCCAAGGGAATTCCTGCTACTCTGTCCAGTGATCGGGGTACACATTTTACTGGACAACTTGTTCAACACCTGGACCGTATATTGCATATCAAACACCTGTTGCACTGTCCCTACCACCCACAGAGTGCAGGTGCAGTTGAAAGACAAAATGGTGTACTTAAGAATAAGCTTGCTAAAATTTGTGACTCTACAGGATTAAGCTGGCCAGTAGCCCTTATGGACATGAGATCCACTCCATCCCAAAGGCATAAATTAAGTCCCTTTGAAATTGTTATGGGACGCCCTATGCGAGCTATGATTACCATTACGCCCGTTCCAGATTTGAACTTGACTCACAGTGCACTCCTTCAGTATTGCAAGGGACTAATGCAAGCTGTAAGTCACTTCCATTCACAGGTTCGAGTTGCCTGGCCCACGGAATCCACCTCCAACACTTGCCACAACCTCGAGCCAGGTGATTGGGTCTACGTACGGCGCCATCATCAAAAGCGCGCCTTGGAGCCCCGGTGGAAGGGTCCTCATCAGGTACTGCTTACTACACAGACGGCTGTTAAACTATCTGGCATCGCAGCCTGGATACATGCTTTACAGTGTAAGAAGGCACCATCCCCAGAGAACCAATCGTCACCTCAGGACAACGCAGAGTCAATTTCCAGAAGAAGACATAGAGGAACAGTCTGCAATACCTTACAATCTACACTCTCGTAAGGGTTGCCAGAAGTAGACGACGAACAAAAAACAAACAAACAAAAAAGCAGTAGCGAGCCTAGCGCCTACTGCCTGGTGGGCATAAAACCGTGACTGCGGTTCCCCCAGTTGGGGTTGTCAGAACCAGAAGAGCCTTGCCTCCAACATGCGTCTCTGCCTGTTCCTCGGCTACTGGTATCTTAAAGTCTGGGGAGACCATGATGACAATTCTTTTATCCAGCAGCAGGTGTGGATAGCTCAGACCCTTAATATTTCTAATTGCTGGGTCTGCAGCCACATCCCAGCCCGCTCTCAAACTGGTGTTCCTGTCCTGGCTATCCCACTCAAGTCCCCAGACCTCACTGGAGGGCCTCGTCCGTTTAACAAAATATGGAACAGCAATGACACTTGGGAAGCAGTGGGAATAAATGCATCTAAATGGATAAGTGTGGTGGAGGGAAAAGGTCATTGGTATTGGGTGTGTAATGTGACAGGGCTGGATCTGGGGAAGAGCTGTTGCCTTCAGCATATTGTGGCCAATGGTGTATGGGATTATTCAAACAAAACTAAAAAGCGGTGGGCCAGGTATGGAGATATGAACTTTTTCTCAACCTGGGATCAAACAGAGAAATCAATCTCGTGTTCCCCCTATAGAAACATTAGTGAAAACAATACAATCTTTCAATGTCATGCAAATAACACCACTCCTCGTAAGGAGAATTACCTGTACCCTTTAGGGGATACTCCTCCTCCTTTGCAAACACCTATACGACAAATGGGTGCAACCGACCCTTCCCGGCCTTAATAGGCCATGACTGGGTGTGTGGGACCAGACCTTATACTGCACTACCAGCTAATTGGTCAGGAATCTGTTATCCCGCCCGACTCTTCCCACAATTCCGAGTGCTAGGAACCTTCCCTCGAACGCCTCCGCAATTTCAGGTGAAAAAGAAGGGACTTAACAGATGCCCAATGGTATGTAAATAACATAAGCCCCTTAACCTGGGAAGAGGCCATTGGCGGTTCCTTAATACCATTAGGGGGAGTAATACACCATGCAAAAAGGCTCCTAAGGTTACAAGCAGTAGTTGAAATAGTGGCAAATGAAACCGGAGAAAGTTTAAGAGCCCTGGCCAAAGAAACAGGGGCTATCCGACAGATGGCTCTCCAAAACCGTCAGGCATTGGACATAGTGCTCGCGGCAAAAGGAGGGACTTGTGCTCTCATTGGAAAAGACTGCTGTGTGTATATACCAGACAACACCAATGAGGTAACAGATCGTGCTAGCCACTTAGAACAAATCGCATATCTTCCCCACGAAGAGCCAAGTTCTTTATGGAAGTGGCTAAGTAACCTTTTCAATTTCTCTGGCATAGGAAATTGGTTGTTTCAGGGAGCCCTAACTCTCCTGTTTGGAATCCTAATAATTTTTATATGTTTTCAGTTACTTTCCTGTTGTATCCAAAATTGTGTCAGGCATGCTACACAGATAGCTGCCCCAAACCAGAGTGCTAATTTGATGATTTTAAATATCACTGATGAACAAAGAGATAAAGAACGCTTGATATGTGGAACCCAGTCATTGTTGGTCATTGCGTAGCTTGACCAAAAGGAGGGATTGTGAAAGTAGAATGAATTATATTGAAATTATAATTCATTAAAGAAATGCTACTTGAAGGATTTGTTGAAATATAGTTGTCAGGAAGAGAAACATTAAGGAGTGTGAGACAATGGGTCCTCATACTAATTAACTTAGAGCTCCTACTGAGCTACGAGATTGGTAAACGTTAGTATGCAAATAAGATATGTATGTATATTTGTCAGTTTCTGCTTTCTTTTGTCTCTTATGTTAAATTGGCTTTGGCTTAGCTGTATAAATAAGTTATCTTGGGCCTCAGAGAGGGGCTCACCTCTGGGTGCATTAGCAAGGCACTTTGCTAATAAACAGAGTGGTCTGACAAATTATGTGAGTCCTGAATCTGACTTTGACACATCCCACCATCAACCTCAGCCTGGACCAGTCCACACAAGAGATCCACTTCCTGGACACTACAGTGCTAATAAGCAATGGTCACATGAACACCACCCTACAGCGGAAACCTACTGACTGCTATCCTTACGGACATGCCTCCAGCTTCCGTCCAGGACACACCACACGATCCATTTTCTACTGCCAAGCTCTAAGATACAACCGCATTTGCTCCAACCTCTCAGACAGAGGCAAACACCTATAAGATCTCTATCAAGCATTCTTACAACTACAATACTCACCTGCTGAAGTGAAAAAACAGACTGACAGAGCCAGAAGAGTACCCAGAAGTCACCTACTACAGGACAGGCCCAACAAAGAAAATAACAGAACGCCGCTAGCTGTCACCTTCAGCCCCCAACTAAAACCTCTCCAGCGCATCATCAAAGATTTACAACCTATCCTGAAAAATGATCCCTCACGCTCACAGATCTTGGGAGACAGACCAGTCCTCGCTTACAGACAGCCCCCCAACCTGAAGCAAATACTCACCAGCAACCACACACCACACAACAAAAACAGTAAACCAGGAACCTATCCTTACAACAGAGCCTGATGCCAACTCTGTCCACATATTTATTCAAGTGACAACATCATAGGACCTAATCACATTAGCCATGCCATCAGGGGCTCGTTCACCTGCACATCTACCACTGTGATATATGCCATCATGTGCCAGCAGTGCCCCTCTGCCATGTACATTGGTCAAACTGGACAGTCTCTACGCAAAAGAATAAATGGACACAAATCTGACATCAGGAATCTTAACATTTAAAAACCGGTAGGAGAACACTTCAATCTCTCTGGCCACTCAGTAAAAGACTTAAGGGTGGCAATTTTGCAACAGAAAAGCTTCAAAAACAGACTCCAACAAGAAACTGCTGATCTTGAATTAATATGCAAACTAGATACCATTAACTTGGGTTTGAATAGAGACTGAGAGTGGCTGGGTCATTACACCTATTGAATGTATGAAGTGAGCTGTAGCTCACGAAAGCTTATGCTCAAATAAATTGGTTAGTCTCTAAGGTGCCACAAGTACTCCTTTTCTTTTTGCGAATACAGACTAACACGGCTGTTACTCTGAAACCTTTCCCCATGTTAAGTATCCTCACACCTTCTTGTCAACTGTCTAAATGGGCCATCTTGATTATCACTACAAAAGTTTTTTTTTCTCCTGCTGATAATAACGCATCTTAATTAATTAGCCTCTTACAGTTTGTATGGCAACTTCCACCTTCTCTGTATGTGCATATATCTATATCTTCTTACTATATGTTCCATTCTATGCATCCGATGAAGTGGGCGGTAGCCCACGAAAGCTTATGCTCTAATAAATGTGTTCATCTCTAAAGTGCCACAAGTACTCCTGTTCTTTTTGCGGATACAGACTAACATGGCTGCTACTCTGAAGTCTGCAACTAGGATCACATCCACCAAGGGAGAATGCACCTGGACACAGCCTCTGCAGTTGAACTTCAAACAAAAATGGACATTTAATAGTTTATAGAAGTTTAGTTCAGTTAGTCCTGTTTGTTAAACAAGTTCCCTTATGTGGCATGTAGCCTCACCTAACCCTAATTATTTCTTACCTGTGTGTAGGTGATGGGATTAGCGTGCATTCCTCCACCTTCCCACCAGTGCCTCTGCCTATCGTCTTCCAGGGTGCATCATTATTTTATTACACAACCTGCAGGGCTGATGTTGATCTGAAGCTGATATGAGGATGTTGCAGGCGATCCTGCCAAAGCAATTCTGTAGCCTGTATCCAATTACTCAGAATAAACAAATTCTAATCTGATTGTTTTCTTTTGCTTAGAATAAATTACTGAGTAAATCGTTTCCTTTTTTTCCTGTTCTCTCTCAATATCCTTCTCAACTTCTCCTATATTTTGTTACAAATAAATTCACAATTCTCCATCCTGCCTTTTCATTCTCCTGCTCTGAGACCTGATATTTGCAATTTTATTCTTTCCCCCCTTTTTTTCCCTTTTCTTTCCTTTTCCTTCTCCTTCTCATCCTGCCAGGAGCAGCATGATCACTCTTCTGTTCTGCTTGGAGCAGACCATTCATTCACCTGTCTGTTGTGTGGTTCCTCATGGGATCAGCCACTCCGCTCTGCCATCCTGACAAGGGGCAGCATTAACACTTCCATGCTGCCACGGAGCAGCCTCTCCTCTCCCATACCTCAGAGGACGATCTTGTCCACTCCCCTGTCTCCCTGTCCATCCAGCCTCCTGTCCCACCCCTCCAGGGAGCAGTCAGACAAAAACAGTCTGCTGGGCTCAGGACATTTCCTTCCTCCTTGTCCTTATGGGGCACAGGGGGCTCCTGTCCCCCTCACGGCCAGTTGGTCTCCTCTTGCTCCAGGAGCTCTGGGTTCAGCATCCCAACATTCTAAGAACTGCCAGATGGAAGCCAACTGCCACGGAACTTTCCAGAACATTCTCAAGCCAATGTTCCAACATTTACCTACATGACACACCCTGGCAGAAACTGGAAGGAGTTACGTCCTGAGGGTGAAAATTAAGCCAGAGTGGCTTAAGTGGGGCTTAAATGGAGCATTAGGGCCTGGTGTGGGCTCTCTGAATTTCATCCAGATTAAGAACTAGTCTGTGAACAATCCTGTGAATTAATATACAAAAAACTGTGTTTAGGAGCAGTTAGAGTTGCTGTAATACACCAGATACAAACATACAAAAGCATAGAAATGAAAAGTTACCTTTTAATTTGACATACCCTCTACTCCTCCATTCATAGGCACACACTCTACCATCACTACAACTACTGTATACCACAGACCATACACTGCAACCTCAAATCTGCCCCGCTTTGTCTCTTCTGTACAGATCCTTCTTTCCAGATTATTTTTTATTGACAGTGGTGGCTGTGGACCTTTGGTGTCATAGTTGGTTGTGTTAGGAGAGGGTAATTTGGCAAAGGGGTGTGACAGAAGGGCAACTGAAGGGGCTGATGGTAGCCTGGCATCCCGAGCGGGGTCAGAGTTAAAGTTACGTTGCATGGTCCACAGTGTATAGTAGTTGTGGTAATGGTAAAGTATGTGCCTGCGAGAGAAAGAAGTACATATTATGAACTGGCTTTACTTTTCATTTGTGGATTTGTGCCAAGTGTGTTATGCCAAGCTGTTTGGAAAAATTCCAACAAAACATTTTTTTGCCAGATTTGCCAATTTGTTGAAGTCAAAATGTTTCATGGAGATGCTTTGATTTCAGCAGTGTTTGAGCAGAACTGAGACGGGGTTCCTGTCTGTTTTTGTGGCAGCCCACCTGCAGGACTGCCTTGGAGTCAGAGATACCAGGGCTTCCAGAGTCTATACCCCCGGGGCGGGGGGTGTGGGGGTGGGCGCTAGCAGGCAAACGGCCTTGAAGTTGGGAATCCCTGGTCTTCCAGGGTCTGTGGTGCTGGGACAGTCCACAGAGAAAATGCCTTGGAATTGGGGCTCCATTCCATATCATGGAGAATTTTGAAATTTTTCGTTTTCATTCTGAATTGGATAGATATCACATTTCAGAATATTAAACTCCTCTGCGAAGCAGAATTACCTTTCTGTGCACAGCTGTAATGTTATGTGTGTAGCAACTTTAAGAAGCTTACAGCCAAGTTTTTGTGTATTAATTTGATGAGGTTTTTTCAATGCTTAAGAGTAGGTGTGGGTGCTTGGCCAAGAGGCAGCTGGGAGGGGCAGACCTGTGGGGAGGTTGGAAGTGAAGTAGTTGATGGAAAAGATTTTATCTATCCGTAACTGTACATGCGCACTTATGTGTCAGCAGCTGCACATGAGTCCTTATATACCTTTTTCATTGTAAAATAAAATTTGGAAGAAAAATGTAGTTTTGATAATGGGAAAAAATGTGCACTGCAAACTGGCTTTGGAATAGGGGCTAAAAATCTGGCCTGTGGGGTGGGAAGGAGGATGTTGACCTGATGTCAGGAATACAGCTTTTGCAATTTCTGTGAAAATTTGAGCTAGTTATAGGATTCCAAAAAAATCACAGTTCACATCTGCTGAGTAAAGAGTTAAAGTTTGGTAACTAAAATTTCCAAAGAGTCCATCTGTACTGAGCATGCTCCATGCCCTCACAATTCCTGTGTTAACCCGAGGCTGCATACACCATCCCTATAGAACAACCAAGCATGCTCGCTCCTGGGGCAACAGGGGCTGAGCAGGACTTTCCCTGCAATTACATAAAAATGGCTATACGGGGTCAGACAAAAGTTCAGTATCCTGTCTTCCGACAGTGGCCAATGCCAGGTGCCCCAGAGGGAATGAACAAACCAGGTAATCATCAAGTGATCCATCCCCTGTCACCCATTCCCAGCTTTTGGCAAATAGAGGCTAGGGACATCATCCCTGCCCATCCTGGCTAATAGCCATTGATGGACCTATCCTCCATGAATTTATCTAGTTCTTTTTGAAGCCTGTTACAGTCTTGGCCTTCACTACATCCTCTGGCAAAGAGTTCCACAGATTGACTGTGTGTTGTGTGAAGAAATACTTCCTTTTGTTTGTTTTAAACCTGCTGCCTATAAATTTCATTTGGTGACCCCTAGTTCTTGGGTTATGAGAAGGAGTAAATAACACTTCCTTATTTACTTTCTCCACACCCAGTCATGATTTTATAGGCCTCAATCATATCCTCCTTAGCTGTCTCTTTTCCAAGCTGAAAAGACCGAGTCTTATTAATCTCTTCTTAGATGGAAGCCCTTCCATACCCCTAATCATTTTTGTTGCCCTTTTCTGAACCTTTTTGATTCCAGTATATCTTTTTGGAGATGTGGTGACCACATCTGCACGCAGTATTCAAGATATGGCTGTACCATGGATTTATATAGAGGCAATATGATATTTTCTGCTTTATTATCTATCCCTTTCTTAATGATTCTCAACATTCTGTTCCCTTTTTTGACTGCTGCTGCACTGCGGGGATGTTTTCAGAGAACTATCCACAATGACTCCAAGCTCTCTTTCTTGAGTGGTAACAGCTAATTTAACACCAGGCACACATCATTTTATATGTATAGTTGGGATTATGTTTTCCAACGCACATTACTTTGCATTTATCAACATTGAATTTCATCTGCCATTTTGTTGCCCAGTCACCCAGATTTGAGAGATCCTTTTGCAGCTCTTCACAGTCTGCCTGGGACATAACTATCTTGAGTAGTTTTGTATCATCTACAAATCTTGCCACCTCACTGTTTACCCCTGTTTCCAGATCATTTATGAATATGTTTAATAGGACTGGTCCTACTAGAGACCCCTGGGGGACACCACTATTTACCTCTCTCCATTCTGAAAACGGACCATTTATTACTATCCTTTGTTTCCTATCTTTTACCAATCCATGAGAGGACGTACCCTCTTAACCCATGACAGCTTACTTTGCTTAAGAGCCTTTGGTGAGGGATCTTGTCAAAGGCTTTCTGAAAATCTATGTACACTATATCCACTTGATCCTTCTAGTCCACATGCTTGTTGAACCCCCCAAAGAATTCTAGCAGATTGGTGAGGTGTGATTTCCCTTTACAAAAACCATGTTGACTCTTCCCTAACAAATTATGTTCATCTAGGTGTCTGACAATTTTGTCCTTGACTATAGTTTTAACCAGTTTGCCCGGTACTGACATCAGACTTACCGGCCTGTAATTGCTGGGATCATCTCTGGAGCCCTTTATAAGAATTGGCGTCACATTAGCTATCCTCCAGTCATCTGGTACAGAAGCTGATTTAAATGATAGGTTACATACCAGAGTTAGTAGTTCTGCAATTTCACATTTGAGTTCCTTCAGAACTCTTGGGTGAATACTACCTGGTCCTGGTGACTTATTACTGTTTAATTTATCAATTTGTTCCAAAACCTCCTCTAATGACACCTCAATCTGGGATAGTTCCTCAGATTTGTCACCTAAAATGAATGGCTCAGATTTGGGAATCTCCCTCACATCCTCAGCCGTGAAGACTGAGTCAAAGAATTCATTTAGTTTCTCTGCAATGGCCTTATCATCCTTGAGTGCTCCTTTAGCATCTCGATCGTCCAGTGGCCCCACTGGTTGTTTAGCAGGCTTCCTGCTTCTGATGTACTTAAAAATTTTTTGCTATTACTTTTTGAGTCTTTGGTGAGCTGTTCTTCAAATTCTTTTTTGGCCTTCTTAATTATATTTTTACACCAGTTCATTTGCCAGAGTTTATGCTTCTTTCTATTTTCATCACTAGGATTTAACTTCCACTTTTTAAAGTGCTCCTCAGAGATGCCGGAGGGGTGGGCAATGCCCCTCTGCCATGTACATTGGTCAAACTGGACAGTCTCTACGTAAAAGAATAAATGGACACAAATCAGACGTCAAGAATTATAACATTCTAAAACCAGTCGGAGAACACTTCAATCTCCTTGGTCACTCGATTACAGACCTAAAAGTCGCAATATTACAACAAAAAACTTCATAGAATCATAGAATATCAGGGTTGGAAGGGACCTCAGGAGGTCATCTAGTCCAACCCCCTGCTCAAAGCAGGACCAATCCCCAACTAAATCATCCCAGCCAGGGCTTTGTCAAGCCTGACCTTAAAAATATCTAAGGAAGGAGATTCCACCGCCTCCCTAGGTAAAAACAGACTCCAATGAGAGACTGCTGAATTGGAATTAATTTGCAAACTGGACACCATTAACTTAGGCTTGAATAAAGACTGGGAGTGGATGTG